CCCGGGGCTTCGGGAAGCACGCGAGGGTCAACGACGAGCAGGGCCGATCGCTGCACGCTCCTGATCAAGTCTCCCCGAGGTGGAAGCGCCGCTGGGCGCCCCTGTTCGCCGGCCAGGCCCCCCCAATGAGCGGGGTCGCTGCCCGCGCGCAGCAACGACCGAGTCCAGCACTTCACCTACCTTCCGAACCGCTCGATCGCAGTTCCGTTTGGCGACAACTTTCACGGGTTCATCCTACACAGGGCCTCGGACCAGATGGCATTGGCGCTGAGGTGTGGCGCGCGGGGAGAGAGGGCGCGCTCGACGTGGTCATGCCCCCGTGTAACTTGGCCACCTCAGCGGCGACGTCTCCGGCGGCCACGCAGGGCGGCAAACTGTTCGACATCTGGAAGCAGAAGGGCGACCCCGCGAACTGCAACTCCAGCTCCAGCCGCAGGACCCCCGTTTCAGATCACCTCTCGAAGCAGTACTGCGTCTCAATCGCCGAGCCCGTTTTTCAACATGTACACGTTTTTGGGGGCCCTGCGCAATGCGGCCCTAATCCAGGGAGAGGCGCCACTCCCCTCGCTACTGCGCTGCAAACGCTTGCCGCGAGAAACCTTACCACGCGCGCGTCATGGGCATTACTTCTTTCTCGACCTTGCCAAGGCCTTCGATTCTATCACCCGCGAGCACTTGTACGGCGTGGACCAACTACAACTACCCACGCTCGCCGAACATCTCCAGCGTGCTGGCATTCCTCCTGAGGTTGCCCACGAAGCGCAAACCCACCTTCAGCAACACCCGCCTCTCCTCCAACAACCAGGCCTGCACGGAGACGAAGTGCGCCGAGTGGTCGACTGGCTCACCAGCACGCGGCATGCAGTCCGAGGCGGGAATGACGCTGCATTCTCTCGGCGCGGAACCCGCCAAGGACGCAGGCTAGGCGCCCTATGCTTCGACATCGGCTACGAGCTGGGCCTTGGGCGCGCGAGACGCCGCCTCATCGAAGAGGGCACCGCCCTGCAGCTGCTCGCGCCGGCCGCGCTCGCTGCACCTTGCCTTGGGCCACAATCCTCGAAGATAAGCCGAAAGAGCGCGAGACTACCAGCACACCCAATCACGTCGAGTACGTGGACGACGCGGTCTTCATGTTCCAGCAGCAGCAAGAGGACCACACCGAGCAAATCCTTCAGCAATCGGACAGAGCTACTGACGGATTGGCCTCACCATCAATTTCGGCCCTGGCAAATCAGCAGCCATGGTGAAGCTCTTCGGTCCACGCCCTCGCAAGCTCCGCCGAGAGCGCTTACTGCGTCAAGTGCATGAGGAGTTCGTTACACAGTCTGTACACAGTACGTCAACGCCCTTCAAGTGGCTCATCATGTCTAGCACCTCGGGACCGTACTTCAAGACGCTGGCGGACACCAAGCCGATGGACGCCCGCAAGGCCACCAAGGCCCAGTAGTCCTTCGCGCCGCTGGCGGTACCAATCTTCGGCTCCTCGCACATCCAGCTGAACGCGAAGCTGATGCTGGCGCAGTCCTTGATCCTCTCGCGTGCCCTCTACGCCGTTGCTGCCTGGAGGGGGCAGCCGGAAAAAAGGCCGGCAGCCGATCGAGGCCCGGTACCACCGCGTCCTGCGCAGGATCAACGGCACCATGAGGTACGGCGCCCCCGACACCATCACCGACCTTGCTGTCCGCGATGCCCTGTCTGCCCCTTCTCTGCACTCCTTGGTCCAAGCTCGTAGGCTCGCCGGCCTCTGTTCGCAGATGCCTGCTCCTCCACTAGTAGTCAACTGCCTTTCTGCGATTCCGAAGCCCCCGTCAACATTTGAGCCATTGCATGATTTGAAACATCTCCAGCGGTTTCACTTCGACTGTTTAGCGGCCTTGGGGGATCCCTACGCTTTCCCAGGAAAAAGGAAGGAAGACATCACCGCACAACCGAAAAGGTGGAGGCGCCTGTGTAATGAGTTCAGCGCGTGTCCCCACCCTGCTGAGCGCCCTCCCTCCTCCGCGAGGCGACTGCGAAGCAAGCAGGCGGCAGATGCCAAGCTCTTCGTGCCCAAGGGCCCGCTTCTCCCCTGCCCCACGTGCGGTAAGCAGTGTAAAGGGGCGAGGGCCTTGGCAGCTCACCAACGCCACGCCCACGACGTCAAGATGCAGGCTGGGCATTATACCATAGAAACACATTGCCCGAGCTGCCACAAGAATGTCCATACTCGGCCTCGAGCCTTGCACCACTTGCAAAATGAAGGCAGGTGTTTTACCCCGCCACTCAGAACAGGATGTGCTAGCAGCCGACCAGGCGGATGCTTCAGCACTCCGCGACACGGGAGCCTGGGGCGCAACTCGCACCCGAGCCGTACTTCCTCCGCTGGCGCCCGACGTGGATCAAGCAGTATAACTTCTGCTTTAACGTAGACTGGGCTGCCTCGTGGTCGCGCTCGCTGCTTCCTGAAGCCGCGATCCCAGCAGAGATCCAGGTCAGCCTACAGCCTAGCCGATCAATCATCATCATCATCATCACCATCATCATCATCATCATCATCATCATCATCATCATCATCATCATCATCATCATCATCATCATCATCATCTTCATCATCATCATCATCATCATCATCATCATCAGCAGCAGCAGCAGCAGCAACAGCAGCAGCAGCAGCAGCAGAATCATCATCATTCATCATCATAAGGATCATCAGCATCAGCATACCACCGCCATCATCATTATCATCATCAGCATCATCGTCGACGTCGTCCACATCCTCATCCTCATCCTCATCCTCATCAGCATCATCATCATCATCATCATCATCATCAGCAGCAGCAGCAGCATCAACAGCATCATCAGCAGCATCAGCAGCATCATTAGCAGCATCATCATCGTCATAAGCATCGTCATCAGCACATAGATCGTCACCATTGGCAGTTTCCACAACACAGTACCATGAGCAGCATCATCAGCATCACCATCGCCAACAACATCAGCAGCATCATCAGTATGAGCAGCATCGTCATCATCAGCATCATGATCATCATCAGCATCATCATGAGCATTACCATCAGCATCATCATCGTCACCATCATCATTGACAGCATCAGCATAATCAGCGGCAGCATGGTCATCATCGTCATCGTCATCAGCATCAGCATCAGCAGCACCATCAGCATCATAAGCATCATCAGAATCAGTATCGTCAGAATCGTAGCCATCATCAGCACCAGCCTCATTATCAACAGCCGCAGCATCATCGTCGTCATCATCACAACCAGCATCGTCATCAACACCATCATCAGCATCATCATCGATCAACATCAGCATCATCATCGCCATCATCCTCATCATCAGCATCATCAGCATCATCCTGATCATCATCATCATCATCATCATCATCAGCATCAGCATCAGCATCATCATCATCATCATCATAATCATCATCATCGTCATCATCAGATTCATCTTCATCTTCATCGTCATCTTCATCTTCATCATCCTACGTCTCATCATCATGATTTTCGCCGTCACCACCATCAGAATCGTCAACATCATCATCATCATCATCATCATCAGCATCATCATCATCATCATCATCATCATCATCATCATCATCATCATCATCATCATCATCATCATCATCATCATCATCATCATCATCATCATCATCATCATCATCATCATCATCATCATCATCATCATCATCATCTCATCATCATCATCACCATCATCATCATCATCATCATCATCATCATCATCATCATCATCAATCATCATCATCGCAGTCAGCAGCAGCATCCTCATCACCATCATCATCATGTTCATGAGAATCATCACCAGCATCATAGTCATAGTCATCATCATCAGCATCAGCATCAGCATCATCATCGATATCGCCATAGTCATCATCATCATCATCATCAACATCAGCATCAACATCGTCATCAAGACCACCATCCTCATCATCGTCATCATCAGCATCATCATCGTCATCGTCGCCGTCGTCGTCGTTATCGATATCGTAATCACCATCATCATCAGCATCAGCATTATCATCAGCAGCATGATAATCATCAGCAGCCCCATCAACATCACCAATATCATCATCATAATGAGCAGCAGCCGCAGCACCAATATCATCATCAGTTTAATCATCATCACCATCGTCATCATCATCATCATCATCATCGTCAGCATCATCATCATCATCGTCATCATCATCATAATCAGCATCATCATCCGCAGCAGCAACAGCATTATCATCCGATTCCTCCTCATCCTCCTTGTTCTCCTCCTCATCATCATCATCCTCATCATCCTCATCCTCAACCTCATCTTCATCCTTCTTCCTGCTCCGCCCCGAGAAACCCACAAAAAAAAGTCGAATTGACATTTCGAGTCCTCAGCGCCAAGGTCGCCCCCAAGACCGGCAGCAGGCCCGAAGAGCCCCAAAGACACCCCAAAACCATCTGTAAGAGGCTTTCGAGAGGCCTCTTGAGAGATCCCCACAGGCATCCTAGCGACTCCTAATCGTTCTCCATCCCTTCCCCCCATTCATCTATCTAGAGGGCACAAGAAGCACCCCCATATTGAGCACCCCTGCGAGCGAAGCGCTGTAGTAAACGCACCCGAGGGAGGAATCGAACAGGGCATCGATGTGACCGCCGAGGATTGGCTACAAGACGCCGGTTAGAAAGGGTCGGGGTACTAGTCCTCCCGGGAAAACACCCACACCTCCTCGGGGACGTACTAGCCCGGGTTAGCGCAAACCCGGGTCAGCCAGGGCCACGTCGCGAACCCAACCCGACCACGAAGTGGCTCCCGACCTTGATCAGCGGAGGGTGGTGGAGCGGGGCTGGCTTCAGGTGCCTCCCAGGCCCAGGTCAACCAGAGGGGATCCGAAAGGATTGGCTGACCCCCGTCAGCGCTGACCCCCCGCTACGTGAGCCCCGACGACGGCGACTGCGACGCCGCGCCAGGCCGGAGGGCCGAGATGCCGCGGGCCCGCGCGAGTCCGTGCACTCCGAGGCGTGCGTCCACTTCTGCACGCGGCCCCCGAACATGCGGTTCTCCCCCTGTGGGCGACGACGACGACGACGAAGGCGGCGGCGGCGGCGCGAGCGGCGACACCGGCGGCGGCGGCGTGGATGAGGCGCAGGGCCCAAACGACAAAAATGATCGCGACGGCGGGGCACCAGACGCTGGCGGGGCCTCGAAGCGGCGTGCCACGCGGAGGAAGCCTTGACTGAGAGCTACAAGTGTCGGCCACTGACTCCGCCTCCGCGGGCACGTTGCCATCTGTGTCCCAGTACGCGTGTTACTAACTGTTCCTGCCGCTGCTCCTGCTACGGTTGCGGCTACTGCTACTAGGATTCATCCTACTACGGCTACTCCTCCTTCTACGACTACTACTGCTACTTCTGCTGGTACTCTTACTTCTTATTCCTCATATTCTTCTACGACTACTACTACTACTACTACTACTACTACTACTACTACTACTACTACTACTACTACTACTACTACTACTACTACTATTACTACTACTACTACTACTACTACTACTACTACTACTACTACTACTACTACTACTACTACTACTACTACTACTGCTGCTGCTACTGCTACTACTACTACTGCTGCTGCTACTGCTACTACTACTGCTACTGGACTGCTAGACTACTATTTGCTCTTCTTCTCCTTCTACTACTACTACTACTACTACGACGACGACGACGACGACGCCTGACCGACTACGACTACGCCTACTACTAACTACTACTACTACTATTACTACTACTACTACTACTACTAATAAATAATATACTAACTAACTACTACTACTGCTACGACCTACGATACGCTACGACTACGACTACGACTACTACTCCTACGACAACGACTACTACTACTAGTACTACTACTGCTACTGCTACCCCACTGACTAACGACTACGACTACTACTACTACTACTACTGACTACTAACTACTTACTACTACTGACTACTATTACTACTACTACTACTACGACTACTACTACTACTACTACTGCTACTACTACTACTACTATTTACTACTACTACTACTACTACTACTACTACTACTACTACTACTACTACTACTACTATTACTACTACTACTACTACTACTACTACTACTACTACTACTACTACTACTACTACTACTACTACTACTACTACTACTACGACTACAACTACTACTACAATTACAACTACAACTACAACTACACATACAACTACTACCACGACTACTACGACTACTACTGCTACTAGTACTACTACTACTACTACTACTACTACTACTAGTACAACTACTACTACAACTACTACTACAACTACAACTACTACTACTACTACTACTACTACTACTACTACTACTACTACTACTACTACTACTACTACTTCTACTATTACTACTACTACGACTAGCACTACTACTACTACTACTACTACTACTACTACTACTACTACTACTACTACGACTACTACTACTACTACTACTACTACTACTACGACTACGACTACGACTACTACTACTACTACTACTACTACTACTACTACTACTACTACTACTAGCACTACTACGACTACTACTTCTACTACTACTACTACTACTGCTACTACTACTACTACTACTACTACTACTCCTACTACTACAACTACTAGTACTACTACTACCACAACTACTA